AGGGTTTCATTTTCTCCCGTGAAGACATGAAAATGGAGATTGGAGTGGAGTCACACCTAATTAACCCGGTTGTACAAACATCATTTACCAGTTCCACATCAGCTCACACAGTCCCTGATGGGGCCAGGATGAACATTTCGGTTGCTTTCCTCTGCTGATTCAGCTCTTCGTGGGAAGGCTTTGGGTGGATTTGCCCAGGGTTCATTTTTTTGGCAAGTGAAATAGAGTTGCTCTGCCCTTCGTACCTGGAAAGCCACTTTTAAAGTTTGTTTGGTATCTGTAGTTACTGCATATGTTTTTGGAAGACAGCAAATGTCTCTTTATAATGTGATAACGCAAGTCATTTCTCTCCTTGGCCTTTCTCACCTGTTGCTACCATAAAGCCTGAGCAGAAGCGAAGGCATTCTTCAGGTTGGGTTGCTGCTTTTTGCATTCTAAGTGCGGAAATTGAGTTGATTTGGTCACAGAAAGCTGTACTGGAGGGAGTCAGTTCAAGGGTAAGGTGCAGTTCTTAAACTCTTTGTTCACATTATTTTCTTCAGGATGAGGAGGGGAAGTAGTCTTTGTAAACTTTATTGATTTAGAGATCGGTTTGGAGATTAATTACATTAGAAAGCCCTCCTGATAGCAAAGGGAGTCCAGGTCATCCCTTCTTCATTAATAATAGAAGTTCATCTATGGTCAATAAAGTGAAGAAGTGAACGACAGGAAGAAACTTCCTGGGTCTTGTTTGACTCTTGGTATTTGCCCAGAACTGGGACTTCTTTGTTTTTACAGAACCAGTTGGCTTTCTTGACACAGGTGTGTTAACGTTGTCAAGGAGAAAGCAGGTGATCCAGAGCAGATGTGATAGGAGTGATGTGAATCCTGTTCTTCCTTTGAGAAAAGGTGCGTGGCGGGTATCAGGGCGTGGTAGGACTGCAGGCTCTGCTCCCCTGGGCGGTGCTGACTCGTCCCACATGGTCTGTGCTGGAGTTTCCCAGGGAAGGGGCAGGCTCTTTGGGAAAGCATGTCCCCAGCTCTGACTCTCCTGTCCCTTAGTGCCTTCCACGTGTGCCCAGAGGTGTCACTCTCCAGTGGCTGACCATGTGTGCTGCTTGCAGGTGTCTGGTTGCTTGGGAGGGGCGCCAGATTTGTCACCTTGCTGTGGCTGGATGTGCCCTGCTCTCCTCTGTGGAAACCATCGCGCCTCAGCACTGGCTTCCCTTGGGAGGGATGGCAAAGAATTCTCTTTCTCTACTAAAGTAAAGACAGTTTTCTGCATTTTTAAAATTTGCCCAATGGGGATCATAAGCTATACCACTGAATATGTGGTTAAATCGCTTTGAGGGAACACAGAAATGTGGAATAGGAGCAATCTCTTTTTCTGGAGATTTCTAAGCGTTACCCCTAAGCCATGGTTCTCCAGACTCCCTCACGTGTGTGGGCCTTGCAGTTCCCCGGGTGAGGGCGACAACTCTTGCTCTTCACCAGTGTCACTCTGGGTGTGTGTGGTGTGTGTTTGTGTGCACTGTGTATGTGTTTGCATATCCGTATCATACATGAGTGTGTGTGCACATGTGTGGTGCATGGTATGTCTGTATGTGTGTGCATGGGGTGTATGTGTGTGTGCATATCAGTACACCTCCATAAGTCAGGGTTCAGGTTGAATTCAGCCTTGCATCCCACAGTGCTTGTGAAGTTCAGTACACACGTTAGTGTGGGTGAGAGTCGATTTGTTCCGTGAAATGGAATTGAACCTAAGAGTATTTTGATGGCAAAAGAGAGCTTTTTTTCATGTTCGACTCACAAGTGTCAAAGGACTACTTCTGGAACTAAGCCAGTGACTTAATAAGAGCAGAGTTCTCCCTGCAGGTCCATCCACAGGCACCCTGTGTGGGGCTGCTGTGGGGCCAGGTGTATGGGAGTCCCCACCTCTGCGTGGGGGACACAGATAGATATCTAGGTTGGGAGGCTAAGGAGTTACAGTCACTGACTGGCGAATTTCAGATTTCACACTGACCTCGAGCCCTTTCTTCTCCCTCTGTGGACCTCGCTGGTTACTCTCCAGGAGCGGAGCAGTAGCCGCACCTGTCTGGGCCGCCACCTCTCAGATGGCCCTGGCCTCACTGGGATCGAACCCGTCCTTTTGTTATAGCCACAGGCTCCTCGTCTTATTGGTGTCTCGGTGGTCTGGGATTAACTGGGAACACTACATGTTCTCCCAAGTGCTGGGCTAGGCCTTCTTTTGCCAGAGCCGTATTCGGCATGCAGTTTTCACACTTATTTCACAGGTCTCCGCGAGTTTCCACACGCTGTTGATGCCACGTAAGCGGCTGTCTGTCAACTTTTTGGCGAGTTATTTTTCAGCTGCTTCATTGACTGTGGGGTTTGGAAATGGCAGCCTCACGGACCAGGTGTGATCAAAATGTGTGGCGAATGTTTAGATTAAAATGTTTTTAATCCCCTTCCCTTTGCATGCCTCTCCCTGCATCTTTACATCCTCTTTCTCCACTTTCATTCTTGTTGCTGTTATTATTCTTAGCTCATGTCAGTGTTTACAGTCACTGTGAGTATTTGGTACTTGCATCCCTCCCACCCCTCTGCCCCAGGTCTTTAAACGTCTGCTGTGTTTGTCAGTCACACCTCATACGTGACACTTTGGGGAGACCAGAGACCCCACAGTTCACATGTTTTGATGTACCACGGAAAAATACTGATTTTTAGACGTCCATCCTTTAGAAGCAGGGGGTAGGCAGGAGGCGGAAGGAGGTGACGAGGGGCTCCATTTGTGGGGTCCAGGAAAGGAAGGATGCCCTTGGCCTCGTGGCTGCTGCCCTGTGGCTGGGGCTGGAAGTTTAAAGCTGGACTTTAGTCGAGATTCTGCAAAAGAGAACCAGTGTGATGTAGCTCTATCTGTAAAGAATAAAGGATCGGCTCCCGACTATGATTATAAAGGCTGAGAAGTCTGCTAATCCGCCTCCACAAGCTAGAGATGGCGTTCAGTCTGCGTCTGCAGCCCCCAGAGCCAGGAGTGCTGTGGCCAAGGGCAGAGGAGGCCAGATGACCCAGCGCAGGCAGCAAGCTCCCCTTTCCTGTGTGTCCTGTTTGAGCCCGCAGATGACCGTATGCCTCCCACAGGCAGATCTCCTGTCCCCAGGCTGCAGATTCATCTGCTGGCCTCGGTAGAAATGCACTCGGTAATGATCCCATTCCTGGTTAGTAAGGCTGCTGCTACGTTAGCAAGCCAGTGTTTAAACATGTACTGCACAGATTACCTAATAGGACCAACATCTAGTCGGATTTTGGCTGCTGCTATGAAAATGTGATTGAATGGGAAAGAAAAACATTAAAAAAAACCTTTCTATCATCTCTGTTGGCAAAATGAAAGAATCAGAGGGCTCCTTCCTGTAAACATTGCTGCTAAATGTTCATGATGTCTGTGGGTAAGATTGTAGTCTGTAGAATCCATGCTAACCACAGACTGGTCTTTCGGCTGGGTGTGATGGCGCATGCCTGTGATCCCAGCACTCTGGGAGGCTGAGGAAGGAGGGCTGCCATGAATTGAAGGCCAGCCTGGACAGTTTAGTGGCTTAGAAAGATGCTGTCTCAAAAAACAAAAATAAAAGGGCTGGACTGTAGCTCATGGTGAAGGCCCTAGGCTCAATCTCTGGTACCACACCCACACCCCCACACACACCCACAAGGCACTTGCCTGTGCACTTTTTCCTTCTGAAGGAATTGTGGAAAGTGCATTTTCCTTTGGAAAGGTGACTAAAAAGTAGTTCTAAGTGGCTGACGTGTGGAAGTCAGAGGCAAACCCATGCTGGCTGCTATGGGGGCAGAAATGTGGCCCCCAAAGATGTCCCCATCCCCGTGAGTCCATGAATGCTGCCTTATATGGCAAAAGGAAATCTGCAGATGTGACTAAGTTGAGGGTTGTGCGGTAGGAGATTTCCTTGGATTATTCCTGTCAGTCCTAAACGTGGTCACCAGAGTCTTCACAGGAGGGAGTTGCAAGGGAGGCTGTCTTAGTCACTTTTCTCTCCTCGCTAAGATGAAATACCAGACACCCAGAATTAAAGGAGGAAAGGTTTATTTAGCTCACAGTGTGTAGAGGTTTCAGTCCATAGTCAGCTGGCTCCAAGGCAGGGTGGCCTGGCAGAGGGGCATCACAGAGGAGAAGTTCATGACAAGCAGAAGGCCTGGTTTAATAATCACCCGCCTTCATCCCAGCACCACAGACTCGATCCAGACACCTCTGAAAAAGCCCCCGCCTATGATGGCATGAGCCTTTGTGGGGGACAGCTAGACACAGCCATGACAGAGGTGGAGGAAGATTTGCCACAGGGAGGGAAGGTGACAGGAGGAGCAGGGAGAGATTTGAAGATGTGCTGCTTGCTGGTCTTAAGGGTGGAGAGGATGCCTTGGGCCGGCAGATGCAGAGTGCAGCTCTGCATACTCAGGCGAGGAACGGATTTGCCTTCACAGCCTCGGGTATTCCTGACCCCCAGAAATGCAAGTGAATACGTTGGAGTTTACAGTAACTCATTAGAGTGTAAATGTTAGTTTGTTACACAGGAAACTCATATATCACTGTACTATCCAGTAGGCTTTTGGCCTAAGGATGTTGAGTTTTAAAAATACGATTAATATTCAAATAGGTAATGAGCCTGTGTGAAATTGTATTAGCTACAGGGTTAAATAAGGGAAGAATTCAAATGCAGGAAATTCTGAAATTGACTCCGAGGCATGAATTGTTTGGAGAAGCTTTGAAAGCATAGGGAATCAGTGCTTTTTCAGTTTCTGGGCACTTTGTGGCACAGCTCCGTATTGAAAGATGTGTTTTGTGCAAGGCCCTCGTAGGCTCTTCAGTCAGTGATCATGAATCCCGGGAAGCTGTTATGGTTTCCCCTTTCCAGTCCTCCCTATACTTCCCTCTTTCTTCCTCCCAAACATGAATGTTGTGTTCCAGCAGCTGAAGTTTTCTGAAACACCACTCTATAGACTGTGGTTATTTTTTGATTTATTGAATGTTTATAAGGAAAAAAAGAGAATTCTTTGTAAAGAACTTTGGTGGAATCTAAAGGACTCAGTGCTTTTTTTTTGATGAAAGGTATTGGTAGAATTTTCTGGTGATGATTACTTTTGCACTCTAAGGCTGGTAATTTCTCCAGTTTAAGAATGTTATAGGAGGCCAGCGTGGTGATGCACACCTGGAATTGCAGCACTCTGGGAAGCAGAGGCAGGAGGATCCCGAAATTCAGCCCCACCTGGGCAAAAAATAAAAAAAATTATCATTAAAGTCCTTAAACTTTCCAGGAGCCATCTTTAACACATACGGCTGTGTGATTTTTAAAAATTACTTGAAATGTGAGGTTTGTTTTCCTAAAGATTTTAGTGGATGTATTCATATCAACGACATTGAACCTAGTTTAATCTCATTGAATAGCTTGCTTTTACATTACCTCTCTGTTAAATAAGGCAGAACATTTTTACTGCTTGGTTTTGGCTGCATTTTATTCTTTATTTTCACTAATGCTTTTCTTGCCTTGGCATTCAACATTATTTGGTGTACAACATGCTAGGAGAAATGCTTAATTACTGAAAAACTCTGACTGCAATTCAGGAAGAACATGCAGCAGAACATATTTGTTCAGGCTAAGTTTATATGACTTTCAAAATTAGATAAAAAATAATCTGCAGTTAAACCCAATTGATATTTTCATTGAAAGGATTTGGTTGTCAGTGGGACAGAAAGAAATGGTGTCTGAGGCTTCTTTTAATGTGAAATGCCTTCAAAGGGAAAGTAGGATGCAGAGCAGAGCTTTGAGGCTGGCATTGGCCCAGACCCTTTTGAGATCTTTCCAGAATATTCCACACAGCGCCGTAGAATTAAACTTTTAAAATCATTCTGCATGCACTAAGAGAGAGCTCAGTTACTACAAATACCCAATTAAAAAGGAAAACAGAGCAGAAAGAAAAATAGTACTGGATAATGAATTAGAAAACCAGATTTCTACTTTTGGATTCATCTCTTGCAGCCCACATAACTTGGTCCCTTCAATGCCCTGAGCTTCAGTTTCTTTGTTTGCAAAATATCAGTATTTACTTTGCTTCGCATTAAGGGGTCTCTGGAAGATCTAAAACTTAGCTATATGGAAACATTTAGAGAATATTTTATATAAAAGAGGAATGCTTCATTTTGAAAGCATTTTGATCATTGCTAGAGTTATAGAATGGTTAACTTCTTGGACACTTGTGTACTCTTTGGTTCAAGTTGAGATGAATCAGTTCTGGTTTCATTCTGTCAGACAGGAGGTGGATCTGGGGCTGGTTTAGCTCCTCTGTCTTCTGGAAGCCGAGATTGTGATTAGCTTTAACTTTTAGTACTGAAAACCCACATCCGATGAATGTTCTTCACACTGTAAAAGATGTTTCCAAGATTATTTTCTTTAATCTCTGGTTAAGAGAGAACAGGATGTCTGTGTGAAAACTAGGGAGGATCAGTCACATTTTGTCAGATGGCATTGTTTGCATTGATGTTGCATGCTAGTATTTATCATGATTTCTCAAGTGATTTGTTTCTTGATAAAGAATAAGGTAAAAATCAGACAGAAATATTTTCAGGTTAGAGAGCTCTTTGAGAGCAAGATGAATTCAGGTTCTTTAGTCAGGACTGCTGTCTTTAAGATAGCAGATACTTTCCCTTGGGTTTTGAGTAATGTGGCAAGTTATTACACAAGTAATTACAACTTGAGATAGTTTTCACCCTGGTAATTGCCTCCTGAACTGAAAATCTTGGACTGGGTTGTAAAAAGAATATGTCCCCTTAAGGTAGTCTGAAACAAGAGCAGGACATATTTTAATTGTATATCATAATTATCAGAGTAAAAGGAACTTTGTATCACTATGCTACTAATTCTCTTGAGTGTAATACACTTCTGACAAGTTGTAGAAGGACCATGTGGCTCAGTGTAGAATACACTTATAAAATTGAGCTGCCCAAGACTTAGGGAGTGTATTATTATTATTCACTGACAGGTATTCCATAAAAGTTTAGATGAGATTATGGATTAAGGAGCCATTAATTACTCCTGAGAGAATTCAGAATATTCCTAACTCTTCTGAGGAACACCAGGAAAACAACAGTTGATACTGATGGATGTAGAGTATGGACAAAAATTTGAGTGACTAAAGACAGTAACATCATTTAATCACGTGTCTGTTGGGATTGGCATGGTAGGGTGAACAGACCTTGATTTAGTTGTTGTGGCATTTTCTATGTGTCTGATAGTTGTCACCAAAAATATGCTCCAAACTTGTTGGATTCAGTTCCGGAAACTTCTTTCCTGAAGGATTAGAAAAATAGGTTGAAATCCGAGTTGGATGCAACATGGAAGAAAGTCTAGTGTAAACCAACACTTATAAAATATTGTTAACTTGCGTGCACTTGGAAGAAAAGTGACGTATTAGTCAACCTTCCCATCGGAGGGACAGAATACCTGGCCTCAAAGGATTCTGTCTGAGCAGAAAGGGCGAGGGCGTGGAGGAGAGCTGAGGGCGTGGAGGAGAGCTGCTGACTTCCTGGGAAGCAGGCCCCAGGGAAGAGCACCAGTGAGAGACAGCTCTTAAGGTAAAAACTCACCAGTGCATCCATCCACTGATGAACAGAACGTCCCATGGTCTTCTACCTGTCCAGGAGTCTTAATCGAGTTGAGCTGACAGTTAAGATCAACTAGCACAAGTTGGGAGTAAAAACTGTTTTAAAAACATACACTTTTGGTTATTTTTACTGTTTACTGTAAATGAACAAGGTTAACATGATTAAAGCATTTTTTTTACCATAGTGCAGAGATGAGCTAAAATCCTAGTGTCCTGTTTTTTTTTGTTGTTGTTGTTTTGTTTTTTTTTGGTACTGGGGATCGAACTCGGGTCCTGGTGCTTGCACAGCAGGCGGCGAAACCACTGAGCTAAATCCCCGGCCCAATCCTAGTGTCTTGTAATGATGTGCCAAGGAACACACTCACACAGGACCTGAAAAATCACGTGTCTAAAAAGTGTCACTTCCCAGTAGTTTGTGTTTACCGATCTAGAAAGAAAACATCCACTGTTAATCACACGAAGTTGCCATTTTTAGGTCAAAACCTCTTAAGTGCTACAGATTTTAATGTGCTCTCATTCACATCAGCTGTCCCAGTGAAGCAGCGAATTTCCACGATAGTTACATTCTCATTGTCCAGAACAGTGCCAAGTGTCCTGTAAATTCCTGCTGACCTAAGGAGGAGGAGCAAATGAGTTAGCTGGCAACACGAGGCTGACTATTAGAATGAGAGTGAACTCTGGGCCAGGCACTGGGCCAGATGCCAGGGGGATGACGTGGCGTGGCTTCCAGCGAAAAGGACTTTTCTTGTAATGCTCTTTCTAGATTTCTGGAAGTTATTTTTCTGTCATCTTGGCCCCTGGTGTGTTACCTGGCCAGAGCGTCCTCCTGTGGACATCCAATCCGAAATAACCCATGGCAGTCTTCACAGTCAGTCTGTGTCTTGCTCCTTCAGTGCTTTCCTCCCTCTCATCATTATTTGAAATAATATGCTTTCAGTTCTCTGGATTTGTTTTCCTGTCTTCTCCAGGAAGGTTCATGGTCAGAAGCATTTTGTCTTGCTTGATAAGCTCTTCTGTTTCTAGAGGAGTGAATGGCAGAGGGCAAGTGTGATAGTTTGGATCTTGGATGTTGAAGTCTTGGTCCACGGCTCAATTGGGATCTGTAGGATTGCAAAGGCCCTAGGCTAAAACCTGTGGACCTGTTAGTGGAAGGAAGTTAGGTCACTGAAGAGGATCCTGCCCCCACCCCCATGTCCTGGCTGCTATGAGATATGCAGCCTCCTCTTCTGCACGATGCCAACATGATGACCGGCCATAGGTTCAAAGGCAACAGGGCCCAGGAACCATGGACTGAAACCTCTGAAATAGAACCAATAAACTTTTCTTCCTTATAAATCGATTATCTTGGGTATTTTGTTATACTGCCAGAAAGCTAGTACAGCAGGTTCTGAATAAATACTTCTTCAATGAACACATGGATCCTCTGAAGAGAAATGACCTAGTGAGAAATTAGCTGATTTGCCTGTGATCTTATCTGTGAACTTTAAAAATTGGAGACTTCCTGCAGAACATTAGAATAATAAAACTTTGGACCCATGTGGATGGGTGGATGCCACACTGAGGTTGTTGTGTCTTCATTCATTCTTTCGGGAATTTTGTGATGACTGACTCCTAAGGGCCAGGCAAGGAGTTCTCAGGGGGTCACAGAAGCAATGTCAGAGTGGACTTCCCAAGTCCAGTCTCCCATCCTGGTTCTCTAGTCCTCAGCCCCGTGGTCACCTGCCCCCCCCCCCCCTTTCAGTAATGCAGCCCTGGAGAGTGGGAGCGAGTGCCACCTTGTGCCCACCCCACTCACAGCTTCTGCTTGGCTGGAATTGGCTCTTGGTTGCAGATGATGTGGTCTCTTATTGTTTTGAGGCATTGATTTGTTAAATGCTCAGTTTTCACCATTAGACCTGGAAGACTCTGATAAGCATCCTCCTGTTTCATTGCAAATTTGCTCCTCATTACAAAATCATTTTTCAGTCACCATAATATTTTTTATGTATACATGTATGTGTGTGATGGGGGATTGAACCCAGGGCCTTGACATTGAGCTAGCTTTTTATTGTTTTTATTTTGATACAGGCTCTCACTAAGTTGCTAAATTGTTCAGCCTGGACTTAAAAATTTGATCCTCCTGTCTCAGCTTCCCATAATACTGATATTACAGGGCTGCACCAGCATGCCTGGGTCATTTGTAGCCTATGCTCTGTAATAAGTACCAAGAACAGACTGGTGGACAAGATAGACATGGTTGAAAGACCTTATAGAACTTCCATTGTGCCCAGGAACATGAGTAGTCACACAGTAATTGCAGTAGAGTGGGAAGAGCATTGTGGAAGGAAAAACTGAGGCGGCTCACAGCATGAGGCAAGTAGAAGTGGCAGTCAGGGTTCATGCAAGGCCTTCTGGGGGGCGGTCTTCTGGACTCCCGAGGAAAGGAGAAGACCTGAGTGGGTAGGGGAACTGCTTATTGAAAGGTGGGAGGCTGCAGAGTTTGAAGCAGGACTGGAAACATCTTGTCTGGCTAGTGACCCTCCCAGCCAGTGCGTGCATCAGTGTAGACCATACCAGCCACCTTTCTGCAGTTTGGAAAGTGGTTGGAAAGAGGGCAAGATCAGACTGGGGATGGCTGATTGAGGAGCCTCTTCTATGGCCCAACCGTCACACGATGACAGGAAGTTGGTACAGTTGCAAAGGCTCAGTGGGTAAAATGGTCAGTCCCCCTCACTGGTGTCTAGGAGGCTCAGGGTGTCAGACCTGGTGACTTCTAGATGAGGCAAGGGGAGGAGGTTTCATGGTGATGATGGAGGTGCCACTCACTGGTTCTTCTTGCTCCTCAGAAGGACGGGGCTCCAATCTGTAAGGTGAGGTCAGTGTGGCAGGCACATCAGTGGTTCCTGATGGTGGAGAATGGAATAATGGATTCAAACCTCTGCATCTTAAGACTCAGTGTGGTGACTCATCTCTCCCCAACTGCGCTGAGCCTCCTGATCTTGGTGTGGAAACTCCTTCTCAGTGCTATATCTCTGCAGTCTGCTGGCTGAATACTTCTGAGGAAGAAGCTTAGTTCTGCCTGGGTCATCACTTGGCATTTGCAGTTTTCCTTCCCTTGTAGACCGAGAATTTATCTCAAAGGCTGTGTATGAAATTGCATCATGTGTAGAAACTGGAAATAAGGAAAGACCCCCAGAGTGTCTTGTCCAGTGTAGTGAGCATTTAAACCTGTGTTGTACGGAAGGCATGGAACAGCAGGTTTGACAAGACAGCCAGTTTATTCCTGAAGAAGATGATTAGGTCTGTTATGGTTTGTGTCTAGATGTCCCCAGGAGCCACATATACTTGCAGGCAGGTCTTTTGGAAGAGAGTTGGGCGTGGGGGTGCTATGGGTCAGTTGGTATTTGGAGATGACATCTGGTTGGAGGGTGTGGGTCACCCCTGGGGGTGTGACTTGGAAGGGTGCATTCCCTTCCCTGCTCCTCCCTCTGCTTTTTGGCCACCACGACATGAGCGGCTTTTCCCCTGCCATGCCTGTCTGCCATGCTGTTTCCTTTTGGAGCTGGCTGACCATGGACTGAACGTGGTCCAAAATAACCCTCTCCTCCTTTAAGGTGTGAGTGCTAGGTATTGTGTCCAAGTGCTGAGGAAAGTGACTGAGACAAGGCCTGAGTAGGAAAAGCAAGGCGATGGCATTTGGATAAACTGTTGATGAGAGGCCATATCGTGCCAGATGGTATGTTCTTTCTAAGACTGCTCACACCCCCTGTGTCTTAGTTACTTTTCTCGATGCTGAGATAAAATACCCAACACCCAAAGGTAAAGCAGGAAAGGTTTATATGGCTTACAATTTGTAGAGGCTTCAGTCCATAATCAGCTAGCTCCAAGGCCGGGCGGCTTGGCAGACGAGAAATAGTTCATTGCACACAGAAGACAACAAAAACAAGCAAGGGCAGACCAGGGTCTTCTATCCCTTGTATCTTACCCAGGTTGCTTAGAGTGGGTAACACTCACAACCTTAATCCTAGTGCCCTTGAGCCTAGCTTTGCACCATTAGTCAATCCCAGCATCACACACTCTAGATACAGCCATCTCTGAAAGAGTCCCACCCATGACTGCATGAGGCTTTGTGGGGACATCTAGACACAAGCCATAACATTCTTCTCCTGCTCCCCCAAAGACTCATGCACACCCCTTTATGCAAAAGGCATTTAGTCCATCTCCAAGAGTTGCCAAAATTCTAACGGTATCAGCATTGCTCAAAAGTCCAAGTCTAATGACTCCTTTGAGATTTAAGACAAACTCTTAGCTGCAAGCCCCTGTACAAATGAAAAGAAAATTAAACACTTCCAATATTCAATGTCATAAGAAAGACATTTCCATTCCAGAAGTTTCAGAAGGCGTAGCAAGGAATGGGAACAAAGCTAGACCAAAGTCCAGCAGGGCAAACATCAAATCCCACAGTTCCACTTCTAGCATCTCCAGCAATCTGTAGCAAGTCCTAAATTCCAAAGGGCTTGGGTAGCTCCGCCTCTAGGGCACTTCCTGTGGTGGTAGCTCTCAAGGCTTCTCTTTTGGGCTGGCTCTGCTCCCTCCTTGCAGTTTTCCTCACATAATCCATGTTCCTGACTTCTCCAAACATCTGGGGTCTCCACTGCACCTTTGGCTTCACACTCACAGCTTCACACACTGCCCTCTGAGGTGCACACTGCCTGGCCTCCCAGGCCTTCTTCTGGAATCTGGGTGGAAGCCTTCCTGATCCCACCACTCTTGCATTCTGCATGCACCTAAAACCAGCACAACATGGATGATGGAAAGGTCTGCCGCCAGCTGGAGCAGTAGCCAGGCTTCCTTCTCTCTTGGCCTTAGGGATTGAGTATCTATGAACCAAATCCTAAGGAACAACTTTCCTAGGCCACCACCATTCTGGAACATGGTGCTCTGAGGCTCTCTTCTCAAAGGATTCTTTCACTTTTGCAATTTGATGCTGGAAAGGCTGGAATTCTGCTGTTTCCTGTGATGCCCTCAGGCCATCTTTTCTATTCTTCTGTTCTTTCTTAGCAATCAAAATATCCTCTGCTCTATCTTTGCCCTTCACAGGTTTACTGGTGTTTCCTTTCTAGCCAGA